TGGTCTCAAGCTGGATTATTTCTGGCAGTCTGTTCAGGCCCTTTAGCTACTTGTTTCCTGTTGCCATCTCTGTCACCATTGCCCCTTGGACTGTCAGAAGCTCTTGAGGCATGAAGTGGCTGGAAATGGTTTGCCTTTGCTTTCTCTGAGGCTGAGAGAGTGTGACCTGCCCATGGGTTTCCACGGCTGAGCCAGGATTCAAACCCTGGTCTCCAGAGTCACAGTCCAACACTCAAAACATTATGTCACACTGGATCCTAAATAAAATAAAATAAAAAAAACTACACACACAAATAGTATGGTCGGACATGACATCCTTGTCAACGAGGAATACCTTTACCTTTACTACACACACAAATAACATGTAAACAAAAACATAAACCTTATACAATACATATAAACCACCACTAAAACACTAACAACATATAGACTAACATCTCCTTTACTTTTGTTCTACCATCCCTAGACTTTAAAAAAAGGCTTCCCAACCCCCTCAAAAGAAAAAAGGTTTTAGGAGAGAGAGTGAAAGAGAGAAGGCAACCATCCTCTCCCTCTCAAGAATGGAAAGCTGTGGCATTCTAATTTGCTGTGCCTTTTCTGTTCAAACTGGATTTTCAGCCTTTTCAAAAGGGGAAAAACTAAGATTAATATGCATATTTGTTAATTAAATTCTATAATCGTTTAAAAGATTTATCCTACAGTCTAGCCTAAAGAGTTCTTGTAACATTTCGGAATATATCAAAATCCAGCATACGCCATAGGTCAACACCATACATCAACACATATATAAAAATACATGTAAACTTAACATGACCTAGCATTAAAGCATTAAAGCTTAACTGTTTAAAGAAGGTTTGTGGCACATGATAGTTTGAAACTGTTATATTCCATATATCCCTTTAGCTTTACATTACAAATGGGGTGCCTTGCTGTGTCTTATAATTTATTATTATATTTCTCATAGTAGTAAAATCTGATAATGTCAAGAACCAGCATGGCATAGTGGTTTGATTGTTGGACTATGACTCTGGAGACCAGGGTTCAATTCCTGGCTCGGCCATGAAGCCCACTGGGTGACCTTGTGCAAGTTACACTCTCTCAGCCTCAGGGTAAAGCAATGGCAAAGCTCCTCTGAATAATCCGTACCAAGAAAGCCCCATAGAGTTGATATAAGTCAGAAATGACTTTAAGACACACAACAATAACAACATGACAATGTCAAATTTCCAAGTAATGTGTTGACTCTTCGCTGTTCATAATAAAATAATTGCTGTAATTAATAGTTAAAAAAAAGAAAAAGAAACCATAACTTTCTGTTTTTAAAGCAACACCCATCAGAATGTTGCTTAAGAATACTCTTAAATCCATCTTTGTCACTGAAGATCCAGGTAGACTCCATGGTTCAGAATAGTCTGCCAGCTGTAGACTTTCCTGGACAACTTAGGCATAGTAGTCCATGCACTGGTAGCCTCTAGTTTAGACTAATGAAATGTGCTCTTCATCAAGTTGCCCTTAAAGATGACCTGGAAACTGCATCTGGTGCAAAATGCAGCAATTAGACAGCTGACAGAAGCATTATATAAAACCCATATAACGCTGGTTTTAAAAAGAATGCAGTGACTGACAACATGGATCCAGTCTGAATCCAAGGTGCTGATAATGACATTTAAATCCCTAAATGGCTTGAGACCTCAGTACTTGAAGAAGTGCCTCTGTATATGCAGCTGCTTAAGATTCAAGGTGTGTTGTAGGGTCTCTCCTCTATATCCCATCAGTCTCACCAATATACTGTCCGAGGGCAGTATATTGCTGGGGACAGGGATTTTTACTTCCCTCTCCTTGTGCTGTACGTAGAATGATAGTGGCAGATACAGGATTGTCTCCTAGTACTAAATACCATGAAGGCATCAGATCCTGTCTGATCTTGGACGCTAAGCAGTCAACCTTAGTACTTGAATGGGAGACCAGATGCTGTGGGCTATATTTTAGAGGAAGGAACTGGCAAAACCATCTCTGAGTATCCCTTGCCTAAGCCCTATGAAATAGATGGGGTTGCCATAAGTCTACAGGTAATCTTAAGACATACATACATGCACACAGTACTCTGGGAGTCCAAATTTCATCCACATTCTAGGAGATTATAAAATATTAGGGGATCTACCTGTTCCCAGCATAAAGAGTACTTTGATGAGGTAGTGATTAATAAGGATCAACAGAAGTTTTCCTCTATTCATAATTAATCCCCCTCCCAGGACTCTATTAGCTTCAAAGTGGTCAGAGCTCTTTAAAAGCTGATACTTTGTACTGGCAGGGATAGTATTGAAAGGGAAAGTATTGAAATGTAGAAGTAGTTATTGTTCACTGCTAATGCAGACTTCCTTATACTGGTGATCTGATTTGCATGAGTGCTTATATGATGATAAATCTGTTTGTTTTCATGGTGCAATAACACATTGTTGCTTATGAAGCAGCAGACCAAACACAGACAGTCTTCTGGAAACAACTACATGTATAATTTTTTTCTGAGATAACAACAGCATTTGGCATTCAAAAGAGTTTGTTTCTTTTTTTGCTGCCAGTATTTTGTTATAAAAATAGTTTAGAGTCTGAAATAAACACATTGACTCATTTGTTATGGATGATGGAACCAGAAGTGTGCAATTGTTTTTAATGAAAAAATACAGCCTCCCATTAATGAAAGTCAATTGCTATAATTAAACTGAACAAACGGAATAAAGGAGTCTTACCGGTTTACCACATTAATGGCCTATGAGAGCAGAACAGTACTATTAGAAGGTAGCTGAAAACTTTTTAAAGTTTTAAAAATATTCAGGATGTTCTTACTCAATATACTCAAAATGATAACTGTACAAAGTGAGATGTAAAATGTCATGGTCTTTGGTTAGTGCTATCCTTAATTTTAAAAACAAAATGGAACATATATGCTAAACTCTCAAAATTCTCAATCTTTGCCATTCCAGATGCCAGACTGACATGACTCTTTCTTAGATCACAAAGGATGAACTACCTTCATGCTCTTTCCAAAGGCTAGAGGAGGGGTGTGCAGCCACAACCCTCCAGATGTTGTTTGCCTGCAACTCCGTGCATCTCTAAGCAGCACAGCCAATGATCAGGAATGATGGGAGCCTACAATATGTGAGAAATTTAGTCCTACAATATGTGGAAACCCAAGGCTGCAATGTGTCCAGTTGGATCTACTCCCCTAATAAGTGAGTTTAGGTTTACAGTCATACTTCTATCCACGTAAATTGCAAACCATCATTTAGTTTACTCAGTGTCATATTTTTAAAAATAATATTTCCATCCATATTTTGTTCTTTCAAGTAAGGTATGTTAGAGTGAGGGAGCCTATGTTTCACTTTTGGGTATTAATTTGCACCAACCACTTTATCTCTATACATAGTCAGGTAAGACTGACTGCAAAAGTAACTGCATTAACAAAACACATTCCACAGTGTAAAATGCATATAAGATAGCCAGTGTAGTATAGTGGTTTGAGTGTTGGACTGTGACTCTGGAGACCAGGGTTCAAATTCTTGTTTGGACATGTAAACCCACCTGGTGAACTTGGGCAAGTCATACTCTCTCAGCCTCATAGAGTCAACGTAATACTTCAAATACCCTTTAAAGAAACCTGACCAAAAAAAACCCCATGATAGGTTCACTGTAGGGTCAAAGTAAATCAGAAATTACTTGAAGGCACACAACAACAATAAAATGCATAGAATATTGTGTTGAGAGAGAAAAAGTGAGCCCAAAGACATTCCAGTTGTTCACTTGGCAGAGGTTTGTAAAAGTCAGACATAGGCATGAGAAGTATTGTTACCCTTTTAGTGTAACCATTTTACATTAATAGGAACACAGTTCTGATTCTGTGCATTGTGACAATATTGCTATAACAAACTAGAAATGGGGGAATTGCTGAGGTGCCAAGGCTCAGATGTGGATCAGTCCTTATGGAGGGAGCATTGGCACAGAAATAATCGTGTTATGAGACAATACAGTGATCATATTGCATAATGGCACACTATGGCACTGGTTTGTAACCTTTTGCAGGTCACAGGCTCTTTTGAGAAGCTGATGAAAGCTATGGACCCAGAAAAATACAGGGTTATCTCAGTTAACAAAGCCTCTAGCAAAGAAGCTCCTTTTGACAGACTTTTTCTGCTCACCCATTCTGTCCTCTCCTCTATCTAGCTAGAACAGTACTGGCACTGGGAGCATGGTGAAAGACTGGAGACACACTGACTTTCAGTTGCTGGGTTTCAGCAGCACGTTTGCAGTAAATACTGCAATAAAGCTTCAAGTAAGAACGGGATACTCCTTAGCCAATTCTACTGTAGTTGTCTGTGCCTACCTACAACAGGTGAAATAACAGCAACTATCTCTAGAATACCTTACTAAGTATGAGTGAAAAGCAAAACAGAAAGGTGGAAAGTGAATTAGCCTGTGTCACCAGCTACCCCCAAGCACATTTAAAAAAACATAGATCTATGACTTAGGCCACCAAAATGGAAATCATAAGAAAAATGGAGACTGCTGAAAGGAAAAGTAATTCCTAGATGCATTTTGGAAGAAGTTTTCAGTGGTCTGTATAAGGTTCAAAATGTTTTTGTTTATTTCTGTCTGACCTAGTTGTTTCATTTCACATGTGCATACTGTTAGTTTTGAATAAAAAACTTATGTTAAACATATTGAATGGCTCATCCTTTTTTGTGGTATAGGAAACTGCCCCCTATTTATTCATGTTGTTTCTACCTCTGGTACCAAATTTTCTGTTTAAAAGGTAATGCCCAGGAACACATCTGTTTTGTTAACTGAGGTATACCTGTACATGTAAACATATACACAAAGTTTTGTATGGAATTTATTTTATTGTGTTGGAAACTGATTTCATTCTTAGACCCTAGTCTGAAACGAAAAGGTTACAATTGAAAACACTATATCAAAATTTACCCTCAAAATTCAGAATGACAGAAAAAGTAACATGAAGAACAAGCATTCAGGGGTAGCTGTGTTGGCCATTTAGCAAATTCAAACAAAAATCCATCAGTGATACCTTTATTGGCCAACCAAAATACATAGTATACTTGTTGCAAGCTTTCGAAGCTCCATGGGCTTCTTCATCAGGCAAGATGTTACAAACCAAACAAGGAAAAAAAAAACAATTGGAGATGTTAGTCAGATGTCTACATGTTGTTTCAGTCTTTAGTTAAGATGGTATATGGTGGGGAGGATATCTTTTTCAGGCAGGCTCCTCCTGCTTCTGGCCCGGAAATTTAAAATCCATTTGCATCTCAACAGGGACCCCTCTTTTGCAATCCAATATGTCTCCATTCCAGTGAGGCCACAGGCCTCTTTGTGACAGAGAACAATGGATTCCTCAAGAAGTCTCCATGTGTTTGTGTCAGGAATATTTGGTGAAGAACAAGCAATAATTTTTGCATCCAATTCAAGGACACCATAAAGCATATCCATGGAATCCTTAGGAATTCCTTGGATCCCAGGATAAGAAGCCTCGCAGTAGAGATCGGACTCAGATTTAGTCATAATTGGAATTAGTGGCTGTACTCTAAATATAATTAAATCTGGATCTAATGCTATGTCCATAGAGGGATAAGAAAAAGAACAATCCCAATATATATTTGGAAGTAGGCTTCATTTAACATAGTGGGACTCCTTTTCAAATGGATAAGCGTAGGATTTTACTGCCAGGGGGACAGATGAATAGCTAAAACTGATTAAAACCCTAGAAAGAGGAAGGTGTCTATCTCTGCATCTACAGATACCACTAAGATTGGTCTGTGTGAATAACTAAAAGTAGATAACATCAGAGCATGAAAATGGATGAAGCTGGCATATTTCATGAAAGAAAGATGCTCTATCGATACTGAATGTTGTTGATACCATGAGATTTCCCCTATGAATAATTTTAAAATTCATTCAAAACTTTTTGGTATTCTTTTTCTGGTGACTTCATGATTAATACTGCAATTTTTGTTTCTGCTGAACTACTTAACCTGTCATAACCTTGACATAAATACTTAGCCTGAAGCTAACTGCTTTCTTGCAAGTATTTACTTTTTAAGTAGTATTCTTTTGTGTTATCCTGTCTAGTAACTAAGGTCCAAAACACACTACAGAAACAATCCAGTCTGAGACTGCTTTAACTGTCCTGGCTCAATAATAGGGAAATCAGGGAACTGTAGTTTTGTGAGACATTTAGCCTTCTCCGTCAGAGAGCTCTGGTGCAATAATAAAGTACAATTCCCAGGCTTCCCTAGCATTGAACCAGGGCAGTTAAAGAGGTCTCAAACTGGATTATTTCTGCAGTGTGTTTTGGATCTAGGATTAACATTGTTAATAGATGGTATGTGTATACTATCCACTCTTGGTATAACTTGGCTAATTGTCTGATTATTATTTCCCCTTCATGAGGACACCATTTAGTGATACCTGCTGTCTGTATTGCCTTTATAAAAGTCAAAATTACAACTTTTCTATTGAATTTTCTCTGTGATGATCCTTGCTTGATTCTGTGCTCTGGTGAATTAGTTTCTTTTTACCTGGTTTGTCTTTCAGACATTCATCTTTCAGATGGTTCTCTTTCTGAATCTTTTTTTCTGTTTTGTTGAATCTTTGTTCCTGTGCAGGAATAAATAAATGAATGTGTTCATAAATATACGCATTCTTAAATTTAAAAGTTTTTGTCTTGTACTATCATTGCAAAAAAAGGAAAACGTAATTTAACTACAAGTTCCTCTTAAACCTAAGGGTCTTGTGATTTATTTATATTTTAAAGTTGTGAATAATGCTGTTTAGATTCTCAGTTAAATCCAATGTTAGTCTTATCCATTGAAATTAATAAGACTTAAGTTATAAATACTGCCCCATTCTACTCTAGTAAGAATTAATATTGGATTAAGCCATAGCTACTGTATATCTAAACCTAAATAACATTATTCACAATTCTAAAATAAATAAATCAATTACAGGATATTAAAATAATCAGCAGAATTGGATTCCCCCCAATTTGTCTTGCAGATTTAATTCTATTAGGTATACTCTAGCTTTGGTTTTTAATTCTTTTTTTCTTTTCAGGCATATTCTCATCATACATGCCATTGCAATCTACATTTAAATAAATTGTATTTACACCTAAGGTGTAGGGATTACTGTCTTTGCTTTCTTGTAAAAGTAGTGATCCTGGATTCAGGAATTTAGGCTTCAGGAATGTTTTGAGATTTGTGATAAATGCAAGATAGATAGCTGATTTGCCACTTGAAATTTGTTCTTTATGAGGCACTTATAAATCTCCACTGCTTGCATGAAGATAACAGGCTTAAAATCTTCCTTAGGGGAAAGTGCCTTTCCTTTTCTCCAGCCACTAAAAATGGCTTTGCCTGATCTTTGAAACAATCCAGGACTTGAAAGGATTAGTTGAGAACATAAAAACTAACCGTAAAGAAGTAGAAAAGGTAATGTGAGCTAGTTCTTGAAAAAAGTGAAATAAAAACATCTTTCTCATTAATTTGCATACCAGTACTACAGCCATCTGATGCAGGGTGCATACATTTTAATGAGAACCCATATTCTTGTTGTTGTTGTTGTTGTTGTGTGCCTTCAAGTTGTTTTTGACTTATGACAACCCTAAGGCAAACCTATAATGGGCTTTTCTTGGCAAGTTTCTTCAGAGGAGCTTTATCATTGCCATCCTCTGAAGCTGAGAGTGTGTGACTTGTCCAAGGTTGGCTTACATGGCCAAACTGGGATTTGAACCCTGGTCTCCAGAGTCATAGACCAACTTGCAAACCACTACACCGTTCTGTCCTTGTTCACAAATACAAATTTATACTTGCCCAGAACACATGCACAGAACTTTGGAAATAACATAACTGCTTCTTGAGTTCCAGAAAAAAATTGCAGAACGTGTGATCTCTTTTATAGCTTACATAACTCAAAAATCCATGAACATGATGTGAGATGGCTTGGAATTTGACTCATTTTGATCATGCACATAAAATGAAGTTGGTGATACTGAAAATATTTCTCTTAAAAACAGGTGGACCTCAAGGGGGGAAAAAACTAATTGGGGGCATGGAGCATTTTTGCCATGCTTCCCCTCCAGGGCATTTTAAGCCCAGGAGAGGCCTTTTAAAGGGTGATGAATAGGAATGACCTCTGATCTCTTCCTTTTGCAGGGCAGGGGTGCCACAAAGGTAATAATGACACAGGAGACCACGATGTGGAAGGAAAAAGGCCACAACTTTATTGTTTGCAGCAAACAGATGGGGTTGGCCCGAGGCATGGGTCAGGATCTGGCATCGACCAAACTGACTGCTGATTGATGAAACATGCCCGGTCATGGCCAGGCAAAGAGATGACAGGAGTGGTCACTGGGCATACACTAGCCCTTCCTTGTCACCGGGGGATGCTAAATACAGGGTTTGCCCCTGCAATGGCGACCCCCCCCTCCAGCCCAGTACCCCCAGGTCCCAGACGGACCCCTTATAACCAGTGCTCCACAGCATTGATCTCCTCGCCCGCCAGATCCATGACCCATACTACCACCCCTTAGGAAAGTTGTGATGGCACATAGCACAGCTGAACCCAGGAGTTGCCCCAAAAAACTAGGGTGCAAGGATGGGGAGATCCACGCCGGAATAGTGTCTATCACCCAGCAACTTGATCTTAAGAAAGCCCCCTCCAGCCAATTACAGGGGGACAGATGTTCTGCTCCTTCTGACCGCTTGTCCAATGGCCTGGGCTGGAAGCTCACCCCTACAGCTATTTCCAGCCCCCGATGCAGCCTGGGAAGGAGAGGCTGCATGGGCCAAAAATCAAGTCCACCCCAGCCTGCCTGGCCATTGGCCAGGGCCGTGAACCTCTCCCCTGGCCGCTGCCCCAAGCTCCGGCTGCATTTTGCCCCAGCACCTCTTGGGAAGGTGGGTCATTGGGGCTGAAGGGAACCGCCATACTGGCAGTCCCACCACTGCAAATTGACTAGCCCATTAAGTTGGGCAGCCACACTTTTTTTAAAAAAAGGTCTCTCCTGGAACTAAAATGACTGTGTGGCAGGGCTAAAAGGATAGTAAAAATGTCCCATGTGCCGCTAATGGACATTTGAGGTTGGCATCACATGCAGCCCTCCAAGATCTCCCGGGGGCTAATGCAGACTGCTAGCGTTCCACTGTTACCCACACCTGTTCTAAAATTATGTGGATGATGTTCCTATAACTAGGTTAAATACATCTTTCCTACCTTTTCAAATATAGCTTCACAATATTAGTGAAGGTTCTTTAATGTATAATTAGTATTCCTGTAGAGCCAGTGTGGTGTAGTGATTTGTTGTGGACTATAACCCTGGAGGCCGGGGTTCAAATCCCTGCTCAGCCATGGAAACCCATTGGCTGGCCGTGGGAAAGTCACACTCTCTCATCTTCAGAGGAAGGCAAAGGCAAAACAAATTTGGCCATGACAACCCCATGATAGGGTCAGCTTAGGGTTGCTGTAAGTCAGAGCTAACCTAAAGGCACACAACAACAAAGTATTACTGTTGTGTAGGAGTGGAGAAAATTGCAGCGTTCCAGATGATGTTGAACACGGAGTCCCATTAGCCTTAGCCAAAACAAGCAAAGGCAATGAATGCTGGGCACTGCAGTCTAACCTCTGAAAGGTGGCGCTTTGTACTATAGTGAATCAAAAGGAGTGCAAGTAGGGTTTGATTTCAGAGTAGGTGCAAGTTGGCCAAACCTGACCACAGTTTAGGGGCAGGCCTGGCCGTATCCTTTTTATCTATGTTGTTCCCTCCTGAGTAGGAAATGAAAAAGCAGGACATGTTTCTGGGTAAGAAAGGAATTTTGCCCCTCTGGGGTATCACCTGGCACACACTGCATCCCCTGCACACACAAACACACACACACACACACACATTGTACTGCTACTGGGAGATTTTAGCAATTTTTATAATTTCAGTGTATTTTTAAAAAGTCTAAAAGAAAAAAGTAATGCCTCAGTAACATGTTACACCTAAATCAAATCAGATGAAATTAAATCTTATTATCATCAAGCCAATGATCATTAACAAATGTAGCATATACGAATAAACATGACCAACATAAGTTTGTGTGGTTAACTACCCTCAAGTCAATCTCGACTCATGGCAACACTAGGGATGAGACATCTTCAAGACCCCCTGTCCTCCAGTGTTCTGCTTAATTCCTGCAACCCCTTAATACCTGTGACCTCCTTATTAGAGTCTATCCATCTGGCATGTGGCCTTCTTTTCTTCCTACTTCCCTTCACCTTT